AGCCACAGAAATAGAAACACTTACAGAATCCAACAAATGCCAATGCGAGCATAACAACAGCAACACAAATGAGCATGATTCGCCTGCGATGAACAGATATCGGTTAGTCGGAGCACGGAAAGCACTGGAATTTGATACAAGAGTTATACTTACGTTGTATCCAAGACTTTCTGTATGCTGTTAGAGCTAGCAGCAGTTGTATTAGTAAGAACGGAAGAAACAGAACTGATAGTTGAGTCCATGTCGTCAATTCCTTCCTGGATGTCTTCAGGCAGAACTATGGAATTGACTCCAATGGATTTTGCTGCAGAAAGGTGAACGGACACATCCTCGAGATTTTCAGCTATGAAATCTGCCTGATGTACTAGATAGTCCAACGTGCTTGATATATGGAAATGAAACTGGCCTTGACCAACGTAGAACACGATGCATCCGAGACTGATTCGAAGAACAAAAACGAATATAGATATCTTCATAGAGGCAGATTATAAGATTTAGACAGCAGTTCGGAGGGAAAGAGATGTTTACGTTACTGGGATGGTCAAGAATACGAGGAACGCAAGGGAGAAGGCATAGGCTGTTCGAGAATAGCCATAAGGCTCCCTCGGACAACAGCAACGACAAAGACAGATGATCAACAAGCATATCGCAAAGAGCATGAACCAGGCAATAGCAGTGGCAAATAAGGGAGCAGCAGTAAGACCAACAGACTGCATCAGATTGAAACAGGACAGAAAGCTTCATGGTTAACATAATATTGTCAAAGGACTTGAGAAGTAATGAAGGTGGGACCCAAAAACAGGAACCCAAGTTCATATTTAGCTTTAGTTAACAACCAAACCGAGCTCAACCAAATTAGCCAAAGAATTAAACTTCAACGGATCGTATTTCAGATTGAGGATGGTTGGGAGGGAGTCCCACATTGGCTAATTAATTAGATAATCATGGGTTTATATGTAAGGAATACATTAACATTGGTATGAGTCCTTTTGGAGAAATCAAAAGCAAAACCACGAGAGCTTATGCTCAAAGTGGACAATATCATATCATTGTGGAGAGTCATAGTTCTTAACATGGTATCAGAGCTACACCCTAAAATTAGCCATGTCAATAAAATCCTCAAATATCGAACAAAGATGTTGCAAGCCTCGAAGGTATATTCAAAATTGACCCAAATGTTGAACAAAGGGTGTACTTTGTTTGAGGGCTTTAGAGGAAGAAGTCGAGCCTCAATTAAGGGGAGGTCGTTCGAGGGCTACATAAGTCTTAGGAGAGGCTCTATGGTTACTTTGTTCGAGGGAGGATGGTTGGGAGGGAGTCGTCCCACATTGGCTAATTAAGTAGATGATCATGGATTTATAAGGAAGGAATATGTTTCCATTGGTACGAGACCTTTCGAAGAAACCAAAAGAAAAACCATGAGAGCTTATGTTCAAAGTTATATCATATCATCGTCGAGAGTCGCGTTCCTAATGTATTACATAGCCATTGCAACTTATAGAAACCATTGAGATAATGAACTTACAGCCCAATAATGTTTGTTGCCGATATTCCATCCACCCGTATATGGTTTAAAATTTGCAAGGGGGTCTGTCCTGTTAGTTCTTTCCCTCGCCAAAATCAGAGACGAGTTCGCAGCAGGGTTCTGTTCCGCAAGGCTTCTCCGACTCCTCCATGGCTCCGAGACCTTAAAAACCTCTACCCCACCAGAGTTCTCTGCATTAAAACAAAACCCAGATAAGAAAATCCTCAGATTAAACAACATTGGAGTTTTTTTTTCACAAAAAATATGAAAGATGAGTACCGGAGATGGGAATGGCGGTGATGGAAGAATAGGAGAAGAGGGAAAGAGAGAGAAGAAGAAGAAGGGAGATAAAGGAGGTGGGTCGGAGGAAGAACATGGTGGGAATGTTCTTCAATTCAGAATGGTTTCTCTCTCGATTTGGCATTTCATCATACAGTTGGGGATGTTAAATAAAACAAAGGAATTACAAATTTGGGGCAGAGGAACAAACAATGGACAAATTTGGGGTGTTTTGTCCAGCAGGAAATTCCTGTACAATGATCTTCGTTTTTCCTTTTTCTAAAATCATCCCTCGCTGGCCTTCTTCCCTTCCTTCCAATTCCTTTGGCGATCATTATCTCTCCCCTTTTCCACTTTCTGGGAAAATCTCCTAATTTTCTCGAGAAAATTTCCAGTTCCCCCCTTAAATGTACAACCCTAACCATCCCGCATCGTACGAATCGGACCGAATGGCAACTATTATAAAGATTAAAAGAAACGAAAATCCAAAACGAAAATTACCGCGGTTTTAGGGATTTCGGGAGAAAAAAATGGGTTCGTGTTGGCGATTGGCGAGAACGACCAATGAAGAAGTTGCCGGCGATTAACGTGGATGAAAGATAACACGAAAAAGAAAAGACGGCGGCGGCGGCGGCGATAGAAACGGGCAGCGTCCACTCCATTTAGTGAAATCTCTCTCTTTTACAAAGTTTCTTCACAGTTTATTCCCGCCATTTTTCATTGTTAGTTAGGCACTTTTTTTTTTTTTTATCTAAATAATTTTTTAACACGGAATTATAATTTACTGTCACCGCTAATAGATATTATTCGCTTTGGCCCGTTACATATCATCATCAGTCTCACAATTTTAATACACATCTACTAAGAAGAGGTTTTCACACTCGTTCCCTCTCTAAAAAGGTGGATTGTGAGATCTCACATAAGTTAAAGAAGATAACGAAACCTTCCTTAAAGAGCGTGAAAACCTCTCCCGAGTAGACGCGTTTTAAAATCTTGAGGGAAAGCCCGAAAGGGAAAGTCCAAAGAGAACAATATCAATTAGCGGTGGGTTTGGGCTATTACATACACCGACCTACGACTACTTTTCGTTATTTGCAAAAGGCCCCTGTTTCTGTTTCATAGTTTTCGAAAATCCTAAATTTTAAATTTTGACTTCCTTTCTACCCAAAAATCTTCGTAAACTCGTGTTATTAATATAACACTTGAACCCAATGTCGTACGTCATATCAATAAACATCTTATAACGACGTTATGATAAAAAAAATAATAATAACGTAGGGACTAAATTGCAATAAAACATAATTCTTATGCCAAAATAGTAATTTAACAAAATTTATGGTCTAATTAAGTGCAATATTTTTATTGTTTTATTATCATTAAATTAGATGTATTAAAAAATGTTAAGTACGGATTTGACCAGTCAAATCATGGGTTTTAATTCCTTGTTTAATACATTTTAAGTCAAAGATGAGAGTTTAATCTTAGTTTATTCATTACAATATTGATTTGTTCATACAATAACAAGAAAAAGCAAGATTTGAACTCAACATCTCCTCTCAAAAGTAGAGAAAAAAATGTCCTTTTCATAACAACAATCAAGAAAGTGTTTAACATACCAAACCTATACATATATAGCTGCTAATTTACTCGTATAGAACACGTTCAAACCGTTGTAAAACGCCAGATATTGTTGTCCCTTTTGGGTTTTTTTTGGAACTTTCCCTCAAGATTTGAAAATGCTTCTACTAGGGAGAACTTTCTACACTCTTATAAGGAATGTTTTGTTCTCTTCTCCAACTGATCCACCTCCTTGGGGGTCTAGCGTTCTCGCTGACACACCGCTTGGTGTCTCTGGCTCTAATACAATTTGTAACAACCCAAGCGCGCCGCTAATAGATATTGTCGTCTTTGGGTTTTTCGTTTCGGGTTTCGCCTCAAGATTTTAAAACGCGTCGACTAGAGAGAGGTTTCCACACTTTTATAAGGAATGTTTCTTTCTCTTCTCTAACCAATTCACCCCCTTAGGGATCCAGCGTTCTCGCTGGCACACCGCTCAGTGTCTAGCTCTAATACCATTTGTAACAGTTCAAGCTCACTGCTAATAGATACTGTCCTCTTTAGGTTTTTTCTTTCGGGTTTCACCTCAAGATTTTAAAATGCGCCCACTAGAGAGAGGTTTCCACACTCTTATAAGGAATGCTTCGTTCTCTTCTCCAACCGATCCACTCCCTTAGGAGCCCAGCATTTTCGCTAGCACTCCGCTTGGTGTCTGGCTCTAATACAATTTGTAACCGCCCAAGTCCACCGCTAATAGATATTATCCTCTTTGGATTTTTCCTTTCGGGTTTCGCCTCAAGATTTTAAAACACGCCCACTAGGGAGAGGTTTCCACGCTCTTATAAGGAATGCTTTGTTTTCTTCTTCGACCAATCCACCCCCCTTAGGGGTCCAGCGTTCTCGCTGACATACTGCTCGGAATCTGGCTCTAATACTATTTGTAACAGCCCAAACTCACCGCTAATAGACATTGTCCTCTTTGGGTTTTTCATTTCGGGTTTCGCCTCAAGATTTTAAAACGCGCCCACTAGAGATAGGTTTTCATATTCTTATAAGGAATGCTTCGTTCTCTTCTCCAACCAATCCACCCCCTTACGTGTCCAGCGTTCTCGCTGACACACCTCTTGGTGTCTAGCTCTAATACTATTTGTAACAGTCCAAACTCACAGCTAATAATATATTGTCCTCTTTAGGTTTTTTCTTTTGAGTTTCCCCTCAAGATTTTAAAACGCACCTACTAGGAAGAAGTTTACATGCCCTTATAAGAAATGTTTCGTTCCCCTCTCCAACTGATACGGGATCTCACATAAAACAATTTGGAGTAGAGGCAAACCGGCTAGAATCGCAATCAAGTGAGCATACACGGACAAGTGATATGCATAACTTAACAAGCTTAGTTTCTGCACGCGTTATGTTCGATTGGTGAAAGAAAACCTCACCTAAGGTCCAACGGAATATAACAAAAAATAGTAATAGAGTTTGAGAACACTACACGGCTCAACAAGTACGCCCACAACCGTCTTTTAATAAAAAACAAGTAGAGATATTTGAACGTTTGATTTCTTAATCGAGAGCATCACAATCTTATATAAAATGGGTATTGTAATATATAATGTATTAGAAAATTGGTGAAGCCAGAACTTGGAATTGGGAGCCACGTGAAGCCATTAAGACAAACCCTCCGACCAATTGATTGATTAATTAGGGTTTTGAGTCAAATTGTCAAGAAAAAAAGTCAGCCATTTAGATGAAAAAAAGAAGGGTTTTTTGTGTTTCTTAACACAAAGGAGAACGATGAGGGATGCCTTTCCTTCTATTGATGCTTATACTCGTTGTCATGTCTTCGTTAGAAATTTTCGAAGTAGATCTTCCGCACAGATAAACACCGGTTCTTTTCTTTCGAATTATGGGTGTGTGAGGGATGCTCATGGTTTCAGATCCTGAAGACGACGAGCTCATCGGTTCGTCGTAGTCGACAATGGTGGAATGAGGAGTCTCGTTCGTCATCTCGTCGTCTCCCATGTCTTGAACTAAAAAATCCATACTGAGTGGGAGAGAATTACACGGTTTGAGATATGAAGATAAGTTCCTCTTATGCTTCAGAACGAAATCCACCTGATGATCATATGGTTCAAAATTCAAATCCTTTTGATATTAATGTAAGAACGGATCAAATTTCAAGTTTTAGAAAAGAATACCTTGCATCCAAGGGAGCAATGAATATAAGGTTCTTGGAGACTTCGAGCACAAGAAGTGCAGTAATTTCCCGACCCTTTGAATTGTCTATTTTGAGGTCTTTTCTTGATGAACACCACTTTGGCACTATTAATGGTATAAGGCTAAGAACAAAAACAAAACCATAGACTAAGAACACGAACACAAAACCATCAGAATTCAAGAATTCAAAATCTTTCCAAGATACTAACCTGAACGTTAGAACAATCTATAAGTTTTTGAAGATCTTCGAGTCGAACAACGTCATGATAAACATATCGACGAACTTGAAGAAGGCGATGAAACCGGTGCGATGATATACAATGAGGGCAAATACTAATACAGCAATCTAAACAACAAATGTTCTTCTCGTTCTTCTTTGCTGTCTCGTGAAATGAACATCCCACGAAGAATTTCTGAGTGTAAAGTGCTTCTAACCATGCAGGCTTTTGAATTCCCTGAAAGAACGTCATCATTAAACGAAATCTCGAAAACCCATCATGAATTGAACAATCAAAACGCAAAAAAACACAAATTCGAAGAGAAAAATGAGAGAAAGTTGATACCATGATTGTCATAAAGCACTTGAAAATTTTGAAGAGATGGAATAGGGCAAAGATGAAGAGAGAAAATGAGTATATATTGAGTTACAAGAAGGAGCAAAGGACATAAAAATTAAGTAAATTTATTCCTTGGGGAACTACACAACATTTTGTCAATTGGGAGAAGTAAGATAAATGAGGAAGAACATGGGTGCTGTTCTTTGTGTCTCCCATTTATAAATTTAAACAATTGTCACTGATCTTCTTGGCTTGAGTGCTTAACTAATCTCTTCTTGAATTAGCTGCTTTCGCTCGAGAATTCGATCCATTCAAACTATTCAATCGAAACTAGATTTTTTTCAATTTGAATTAGGTTGAACTTTTGAATAACTGAAAATTTGAGTCGATTCGCGGGTTGATACTCTTTTGGTTAAGTCAGCTCAGTCAACTTGAAAATAGAGTTACAATTCAACTATCTCGTACCCTACTTTTAAGATTATTACGAAGATTAAGAATATTTGATATTTGTAACCAATATTAGTGGTGTGTTGTGAGATCTCATATTGGTTGGAGAGGGGAACGAAGCGTTCCTTATAAGGGTGTGGAAATCTTTGCCTAGTAGACGTGTTTTGAAATTGTGAGGCTGACGGCGATACGTAATGAATCAAAGTAGACAATATCTGCTAGTAATGAGCTTGGATTGTTACAAATAGTATCTGAGCCAGACACTGGGCAGTGTGCCAGCGAGGACGCTGGATCCAAGGGAGGTGGATAGTTAGATATCACTTCAGTTGGAGAGGGGAACGAAGTATTCCTGATAAAGGTGTGGAAATCTTTCCCTAGTAGATGTGTGGCAATACGTAACGGGCCAAAGTCGGCAATATCTTCTAGTGATATGCTTGGGCTATTACAAATGGTATTAGAGTCAAACACCGGGCGGTGTGCCAGCAAGAACACTGGCTCCCAAGGGGTGGATAATGAGATCTCACTTCCGTTGGAGAGGAGAACGAAGCATTCTTTGTAAAAGTGTGGAAACCTCTCCCTAGTAGACGCGTTTTAATGTTACGTGCATTATGGATAAGTAGAATTTTAAAAAAAAAAACAACCTAACATAAAAATAGAGGGTTGTGTTGGAAACTTTATTTGGATCGCTCGGGTCACCAACTCAACCAACTCAAAATTTCGAGGTTGTCCCAGAAGCAATTATTAAAGAGTAATTAGAGGAGAATAAAAGGGAGAAAGAAAAAGACAAGACAAGGAGTCCCATGGTGCACAGTGTTCAATAGGAAGCGTTGTTGGTCCCATAGACAAAGTTTATAAAATAGTAAGAGAAGTTGAGTAGGTTTTGACTACACATAATGAGTGTAAAGAGAACAAAAAAAGGGGGCTTGTCTTCATTTAGTGGTGTCAATATCAAACTCATTCATACTATTCAATAAGGAGTAGCCTTATTAAAACCCTAATATCACCTCAATTTTAAATTATATTATTGATTTAGAACGTGAGTCAAAAGATTGAACGATAATTGTTCCCTGTATGGAATTTGGACTGAAAGGACAAGTTCATAAACAAAAAGCTCTGGTCTTCGAGCTACGAGTTTGGGATCTGAATTCGATATTTGATAGTCATGTCGTTCCCTTGCATGCTCGTGACATAACAATGTTACGTATTTGTCTCAAATTGTTTCCGAGCATGATTTTTAGGAGGTCACGCAATATGTAATTGTTTCAAGTCAAGCACGCTTAATTCTAGAGTTCTTAAGAATGAGTTCCTAAGAAAAGCTTAAAAGAGTTAAAAGTTACTACCTATACCGATAAGGTGCACTTTCTTTTTCGATGGCTCAATCATAGGAACTCGAAAGTTAAACGCTCTTAGCTTAGAGAAATTCTATGTTGGGTGACCTATTGAGAATTTTTTCAGGAAGCCTGTGAGTGAGGAGGACCTATGTTGGTTCCTAGGGATAGTCTTCACTATTAGAAACGAGGAGTAAGTAACGTGACCATGTTGTAGGGAATGTCAGAGTCATCCGGTGCCAAACCCAAATTTCGAATCCTTGTGCAAATCATGGGTATAGGTCGTTACAATCAATCTCATTCAAATCTGGTCTCGGTTCATTCATGTGTTCCTACTTTCCTAGGATGTCGCAATAGCCCAAGTTCTTCCAAACATGACCATGTCGTAGGGAATGTCGGGGCCAACAGGTGTCGAATTCGGATTCTGAATCCTTATGCAAATCCTGGGCATATGTCGTTATAATCACTCTCATTCAAATGTGGTCTCGGTTCATTCACGCGTCCCTACTTTCCTAGGACGTCACAATAGCCCAAGTTCTTCCAAACATGACCATGTTGTAGGGAATGTCGGGGTCATCAAGTACCGAATCCAGATTTTAAATCCTTATGCAAATCCTAGGCATTCGTCATTACAATCACTCTCATTCAAATCTGGTCTCGGTTCGTTCATAAGTTCCTACTTTTCTAAGACGTCGCAATAACCCAAGTTCTTCCAAACACATTCAAATTAGGGTTTTGAATTTGGATCAAAAAACCGAAAAACATTACTTTTCAAAGTTGTTGTACATACTTTTTAGCTCCAAATCCCTTGTATTATGTCTCTTCTTTTTGCAAATAATGGAGATGGAACAAGACATATATTCATTGTACCATGAACTCCTGGTTTAAAGGAATCAAACATGGAAACCAAACACAATTCAAAAAATAAAACCCCAACCACTCCACTAATGAAAGAAAATTACATAAAAAAATAACCTTGTTCTTCAAAAATTTTGTGTGGTTTAATAATGTTTGCTTTGTTTTGTTTTGTTTTATGTTTTTTTTTGAAACTATTAACTAATATGTTTGACAGAGAGACAAGCACAACTCACAAAGCACTAGTTTTAGGGCAAAAATGAATAGCTAACCCTAAATTATTGTTTTTTTGGCTTCAATTTTTAAGGAACAACATAGAAAACTCCCCACATTTAAATATGTTGTCATTTTTTTTGTTTGTTTTTTTTTTTTTTTATGGCTCTATGTTCTAACCAAGGGTTGATCTCGGGGTTCGCAATTTTACTTTGCTAACTAAGCTCGTTTTAAATTTAGATTTTGAGTAAAAATGATCATGTTTCTTTCGAAAATTTAGATCAATTTCCATTTTTACCCTCTAAATTTGTGACGTTGTATGTCAAATTTTGCCATAAACTTGTTTCTTTCAAAGATTTGGACTTTGGATCCGTCCCGTTCAACTTTTTGGTAAAGTTGAATTTAAAGGGTATTTTGGGATTTCCATTTTTTAACTCGGTCACGTTGTATATCAACTTTGACCTTAAACTTGTAAGTTTATCAAATTGAACCCTGGACTTCGTTAAACGTTGCAACCTCTATCATCTATTGAACTATTCATTGGCGGCATATGAGAATACTTTCTTAAGACAAGGAGAGGTGATCTCCAGAACGAGAAGAAATTGAATTTCATGCTCGATCTATTGCTTCTACCTCTACTCGATGCAGGGATCTAGGCTCTCACTAAAGCGACTGTAGTTTTGATAAGCAAATTGAAGAGAGCTCTAACGGGCCTTGGAGGACCAAACCCACTTATGTGTCAAAATACAAACCGAGTTTATATTGGTAATTAATTAGCATAGTTCAACGGAATTTGACGTGTATACTCAGGTAATTAAGATAGTTTAAATTTAAATGCATATTAAACCCAAAATTTAAAATTAAAAGTTGAAAAATTAATTATTCAATCCAACCATAAATTATTTTTAAAAAAATTAATTGTTTAAATGAGTTATAAATACATTTAAATAAATTATTATTTGTTTGAGCAAGTACTTTTTAAAAAAATAATAATAATAATTTAAGCATATGCCTAGATTAGATATAGCATTGAGAGGCTAAAATATGTTTTAATTTTTATTATTTTAATGCCCTAAACTAAATAATATGTTTCCTTTTTTTAAGGAATAATAATACCTTTCTTACTTGTGAAGGAAAAAAACAGATCATAACATATAGTTCAACCGGTTAAAACATATATTTTGGGTAACAGTTTAAGCTCACAGTCAATAGTTATCGTTCGTTTTAACCTATTACGTATTGTCTCCAACCTCACAATTTTAAAACGTATCAATTAGGAAGAGATCGTTCGCTTTAACCCATTACGTATTGTCGCTGTCAGCCTCACAATTTCAAACGCGTTAGCTAGGAAAAGGTTTCTACACCTTTAAGGAATGTTTCGTTCCTCTCTCCAGCCAACGTGGGATCTGTTAATTTTAGAACGTGTCGGCTAGGAAGAGATTTCTACACATTTAAGGAATATTTCGTCGTTTTTCTCTCCAACTAACGTGGGATTTCATATTTTGAAAATATTTTTGAAATCATAACGAAGTTTTAAAAAATTTTACGTAACATTTAGAAAATGTTTAGCATCATTTAGGTATATATTTAGTTGATTTTTGGAATTTTGTTCCTGTTTTGAATATAGATAGAAACATTGTTGACGACACTAATCTTTGTTGACGTACGATGATCATAAGAACGCACGTCGTGTAATGGGGTTGTGTTGAATAAGCCTAGAGGGCGTGTGAGACACGTTCCACTGTCTATCATATCGTTCGTACCTCACGTTGGAGCATAGAAGGATTTTTTTTTTCTCATTCGTAAAATAATATAATACAAAAAAAAAAATTTACTTTATTTGTGGTTAAAAAGTGAAAAAAAATATAGAGTTAATAAAAGTTGAAAATAAATGGAAGTTTCGGTTGATAAAAGCAAGTAAATAGTCCAATTAAAATTGTACCCCACACGTGCAAACCTGATCATCGAATCAAATATTTTTCTAATTTATTCTTTTTTAAACTCTTCTATATGAAGAAAAATATTTTTAAAAATAAATAAATAAAAGGAAAAAAATGGGCAACCCCACGTGCGATGACAAAAGAAAAAAAGAAGCACATAAAACCTGGTCACGTGCAAGAGATCTATTCTTGGTTCCTCTAATCAGGTTCTTATTGATTTTCAAGACCGACTCTTTCAACGGCTCAAACATCC